GCTCACAGAATATTTCTACCAGCCTGATGAGAGTTAATTGATGTCAAAGACTTTCTTCCCTGTATAAACACATTTTCGTTCACATTCGCACACTTACTGCAGTTTTTATCTAATAACGTGATGCTCTGCTGACTTCAGCTTGAGCTCACATCACAGCCTGTTTGCCCTTTTGAAATGGATTATAAAATGCTTGGATGAGGAGCCAAGTTGCCAGAGCACACAGTTAGTGGGATTGCAGGAAAGATGGGGGGGAGGGGGGAATCACCAAATCTCACTGGTGAAAAACTGAAAAAAAAAAAAAAAAGCAAAGAAAAGAAAAAAACTTTCTGTATGTCCATACATTTTCTACATGCAAAGCTAATTTGAAGGCCCTGTATACAAAAGGTATGAAGACACTTTTTATTTTTTATCCCTTACAATTGATTAATCACTCATGAACCATTGGAACAATGATGCTGAGTATTAGTGTGACATGTCTTTGTTACTCAACACATCCAGATGCCACTGCAGTTACAGTTGATTATGTCTGCCCTATTAGACTGATCTAATGCGTGATGCACAATGCAGCATTAGCCATCAGAACAAGCATTTTTTTTTCTAACTCCAATGTCTGCATTTGAAGCAATTTTAAAAACATCAGTTGAGTTCAGTTTACTTATAACACACCAAATTAACAATCTTCTCAAGTCCTTTTACAAGCTTTTATCTTAGATAAACAGATATATGAAATTCAAATGACTCCATGTTCAGGTTGAATCAATGCAATGCAATCTAATACAATGAAATTCAAAGTCATAATTCTGTCAGATTTTAAATGAATCCCTGCTCTAAGCACACTTGAATCAAATTGCTTGATTTTCTTAGTATCATGTGATTCGTCTGGTAACAAGCCATTCATTTGATTCTGGTGTGATAGAGCAGGATGCATCTCATATTTGCAGGATTGTAAGCTTTGGATTGGGGCACCTCTGTAATACAGTTCTGTCAAAGTTGGTCGATCATATGATAATAATTAGTAATAGGTTATCCATCAGTCAGTGGCGTTGTCAGTCCCTCGCTCCTGGGCAAGCATGTGGCAACAGGGGGAAGGAATGACTCCCTTTTAACCAACTGAACCACAACAAGGCAACAGACAGTAAATATGACAATCAGATTTTTCTTCTCCAAATGAAATCCTTTGAAAATGGTATAAAGGTTCAGTTAAGCATTAAAAGTACAGGCCTAGACAAATTGTTGTTCCTCCAGAGATCAGAAGTCAGTCAAAATTGGAAAATCATAATGTGAGGAGTGAGGACACAAATACTTTTCCAAAACCACCAAACGCAGATCCAGCACACATGTGTTGGATCTGCTGCTGAAGATGTGTGAACAACATGAGGCTAGTAAAACCAACAGTTTTGAGTTTTCATTCAACATTTTCCCTCTTTTTTCATAAAGACAAACTAAACTGAAACTATCTTTCGATTTTCCTGTGTGTTTACGTGTTCTATGAAACATTACATTGCACTATTTTTAAACTTGGAAGAGGGCTTCACTGTTAAAAGTGAAGGCTTTATTAGTGTGTGTTGGGGATGTAGTACTATTTCTCATCACAGAGCATGACCAGGTGTGCAGATCAACCTTATCTCATAGCTGTAGGGTGTGTGTGTGTTTGTGTGCATATTAGGTTCCATTATAAGAACAGGTTGCCTGACTCCATATGTGCGCAGTGTGCAGGGAAGCTGGGAAAACAAGGTTCTCCACGGCTCTCAGTGTTATTGCTACCTCCCGCCTCTTCGAACCGTGTTTGAAGACAGGAAATAGGATTCAGACCGCAGTCCGAAGGGCATGTGGCAATGGTTTATATGCCGAGGACCTCTGACCTATCGTCTCCACCCCCACCCGCTCTCTCACACCACTCCCATGGCCCTAAAACACTCTCTCCCAAGTTGGGGCTCGAAAATAATGTGTCCTGACCCAGCCCAACTTGGCCCGACCTAACTAAACCCAGTACAATAGACACTTCGTCCTGAGATTTGTTTGACCGTAGAATGAAAAACAGATGGACCTGAAAGAAAGGACCAAGAGAATAAGGAGAGTGGGACGGGGAAATATAAGGGAGTCTTGTAAAATATTTTCGAAGAAAAATAACCCAGAGAGGTTGTCTAATTATATCTATTTGTCTTGTGTGGTTTTGTTGGGGAGGCCATGTGGTCTCCCTGGCTGCTCCATGGTTCATTTTTCACATTATCTGATCCTGGATGCAGAGCAAAAAAGAAAGAAGTTGGGTTTTGGGGGGAGGTGGAGGAAGATTGGGTCTCAATGGGAGGCTTGTGGTGAGGTAGCTGGACTCAAAGACCCAAATGTGTGGTGAAGGCCTCTGAAGTCTTGAAGTTTCATGACTTCGACTGCTTTGCTGTCTTTTGTGGGTATAGAGACAGGAATTACTCACAGTTTTACTTTTCTAATCTACCAGACTGAATTAATCTTCTTCAATAGAGCAGCTTTGTTTTTTCTAATAAAAACAAATGTGGCCTTAGACCTTCTTTTTTCTCTTCAGAGGTTTATCAAGTCCTCCACTTGAAGGGGAACCCAGGACAGATGTAGAGGAGGGACTAAATGTTCCTTCTGGTCAGGTAGAGAGTCCAAATCTGGATAGATCTGATGGATGGATGGACGGACGGACGGACGGACGGACGGACGGAAAGACTGAGATGGATGGATGGATGCCTACAGTGCCTTAAAGATTTCCTTTGAACATCTATGTTTGTCACTTTACAAACATAATCTTCAATTTATATTATTGGAATTGTGTGTGATGGACCAAAACAAGCAATGAAGTGGAAGGCTGATGATGCCTGATTTGAAAAATTTTGATATATTTTGTTATATGAAAACTGTGTCTGCATTTGCATTCAGTCCCCTTTGGGTAACCAATTTCCCCACAGTAACAATTACAAGAAAAGGTTTTGGTGTATGTTTCTACCAGCTTTGGTTAGTCCAATATAAAGAAGAGCAAAATCGTGGAAACAATCCAGAGAGGTTAAGTTGTATTGTTTTACAACAACTTACAAAAAACAATTTGAAAAGTGTCGTCCATTTCTTTGCAGTCCCTTAGGTCAAAATTTTATACACGTCACTGCATTTACAGTTGCAAGTTATCTGTAGTATGAGCCTAGCACCTTTGGACATGTGGACTGAAATCTTGCACCCTTTCTATGTAGAAAAGTGGCTCAAACTCAATCAGATTTGATGGAGAAACAGCGATTTTCAAGTATTTCCAGTTAGATTTAGCTTTTTTTTTTTGTCTGAAATATTGTAACACTTTAACATGCCTTGAATTAAACCAACTCTGGTTTTATGTTTAGAGGGTTTTTGTTTTTTACCCGGTGGGAGCTGAACCTCCATTACAGTCTTAAATGTTTTACAGCTTTTTCCATGATTGTCCTGTAATTATCTCTACCCATCCTCCCCTCATATCTGAACAACTTCAATGTTCCTGCTGAATAAAGTGTCCTCCACAGCATGATGCTGTCACCACATTGTGCTAACCAGGATGGCATGTTAAGCATGATGGAGGGTGTCAGGTTCAGCTCCTCCAGTGTTACCATGGCTACATCATCCTGACCCCATCTGCAATTAATGCTCTTCTTGTCCAGCCTTTACATTCAGGTCTGCTGTGGTAGGTTTACTTTTTAGCTCTTTCTGTTTTTGCATTGTGGGTTGATTAATCCGTGCTTTGAGATGTTTTGAGTTTTGAGATTGCTCTACAACTTAGCCATAACTTTACCATAACTTTGTCCCTAGCCCTATGACAAACCTCTGAGGTCTCAACTGAAAAGTTGCATCACACTGAGACTGGGGTGACGACAAACTGAGGATGTTATGATGGCAACTGCATTTACTTTAGGGCTATCTAATTTGAATGGGTTAAAGGCATAATCATACCACACATTTAAGATTTGTCAAAGAATATGAAAACCAGGCATCATTTTTCTTCCACTTGACAGATATGTGCTCCCTTGTTTTGGACTGTCACATAAAATCCCCCAAAAGACATATTGAGGTTTGTGGTTAAAACCTGAGAAAATGTGAAAAGGCTTGAGGGGAATAACGGTTTCTGCATTATGCTGTATATTGAAGTGCTTTTCATGGAATTTTTGCATTGTATCCCATGTAGATGTCTTATAAATTACATTTTAAACCTTCCTTACAGGCAGATGTGTTAAATCTAGATTTCCCAGCATGCCCACCAAGCACATCCAGCATCAGGGAGTCTGTGTCTTGATGTCCTCCCTCAGCCACTGGCTTTGGGTCACCTCATTGTGTCCAGATCTGTCCTGTCCCTGCCTGTCACCCAGCAGGCGGCTTGTTGACTGTTGCATGACTTCTGCAATTCTTTACTTTGTTTCAGTTTGACGGGCAGGATTTACATGAAACAGGCTGACGATGTTTTCCTTTCCTAGCTCGAGCAATATTCAAAGTTCACAATAGGAGGAGCCTTTCATGATGGTTGACTGCGTTAATAAGGACGATAATGATGTCACAGCTGGTGACATCACCACAGCGTGCCAGCCAGCAGAACAAAAGAGGACTCTGCCTGGTCGTCCTCGCTGCCTTGGCAGGACCAAAAAGAGAGCGAAAGAGGGGGGAGACGAAAGACTGATGTATCCATTTGGCTTTCAGTTTAATTCTGCCTCTTTATTCACATATTCAAATTTGTCCTGTGAGTATTTGTAAGGAGGGAAACATTTTGATTTGTTCTGCCAACTTTATATCTCTATTACGGCCTGGAATGAAAGCGCTCCGTCACTTCAGGCAGGATATCCGGTGATTTGGCTCCCAACTCCAAATCAAAGCTGTTTAAAGTGCATTGTTCTCAGGGAGATGCCTGTGCCCAGCCTCTGTCTTCTCTCTCTTCTTCCTCCTCTCCTGTCTCTATTCTGTCCATCTGCATATTCCCCCTCCTTCATCCAGGCTTTCTTCTTTGCTTGCCTACATCTCTATCTGTCCTCTTGCAGGACTCGGAGAGAAAGGGCTTCATGAACAAGCTTTATGCCATTCAGGACGTGTGCATCAGCGTGCAGAATGCACTGGATGAAGTGGCCTCCTACGGCGAGAGGATAAAGAAGTGAGTCGAAAGCCTGCTCCTCGGCACCGGGCCCACTTCCCTTTGCTTCGCGGCACATGTCCTGGTTCTTTTTCCACATCGCCAGGCCCCTCTGCCTTCCCGTGACAGGCTAACTTATTTTAACTCAGTTCCTGAATCACATGTAGACCTGCATGACCTTTATGTATACATATCATTTCATGTGCATGCTAACACATAAACTGTTGATTTACCTATTTCTTAAATTTTCAAATAGTAAACTGAAATAATTTATTTTCTGGCAGAAAATGAACTATGACTCTCAAAAGTTTATGTTGTTTATATAGCTCTAAATGACTGATCTGTAACTTATCTTTATAATTGTTAGTATGTTTCCTATTTCCTGACATTTATGAGCATGTTCAGTTAAATGAGCTGTTGCAATGTTTCCTAATGTGAATCTCTCGTTCTTCTTTTACAGCACATTTAACTGGACTGTGCCTTTCTTAAGCTGGTTAGCGATTGTAGCTCTCGTTATAGTCACAATCATAATCTACTTCATTCCACTGCGGTTCATCGTGCTGGCCTGGGGTGAGATGATGCTAGTTATGTGAATCAGCTTTAATTAAACTGCACTCAGAAGTGTTCACATCCTTCTTTAAATGGCAGGGTTTTCTGATTGTTGAGGTTTGTGGGAAAAAAAAGTACTTTGATATTGTATTTATAAACTTTTTTTCCATATCTGATGTAACTTGTATTCTGCGCAGCTGCAGCAAAAAACAATTTGTGGTAAATGTGCTGTAGTTATATAGCACTTTTCCACTGCTTAAGACATACATTCACATTCACATACTTTCTCTCTTTTTATGCACCTGTACACATATCGGTAGGTAACCTGGGGCTGAGGGCCTTGCCCAGCTTTGAACAAATAAATGTTGGACATTACTATTTAACCCTAACATCCAAATAAGGGTGTACAGTATATACTTTTCAGATGTACTGTATTAAAGTAAATAAATAGAAAAGTTCCTTTGATTGCCTGTTTTCATTTATTTAGTTTTTTTGGGGAAAAAGTGTTGAAGAATTAAAAGTTCATAATGCTGAATATTTTGTAGTATATTTTATTATTTTTCTGTCTGTCTGCAGGGGTTAACAAGTTCACAAAGAAATTGCGGGACCCTTACACCATTGACAACAACGAGCTGCTGGACTTTCTGTCCAGAGTGCCCTCAGACGTACAAGTGGTGGGTCATCTTCTAATTTGAAAGTCCAAGTTTGAATTTACATTGTCTTGCGAAATTATTTTAGCATCTTTTTCACGTATGCTAGACTTGTAATGTTATATTACAACCTCAAACATTAAATACTGTTGGGATTTAACATGGTAGAACGACATAAAGTAGCTCATCACTTTGGAGTAAAGAGAAAAGGACACAATGGCTTTAAGGTTGTTTTATAAATAACAAATTTGAAAAGCATAATGTATGTTTGCATTTAGTTCCTTTTAATCTGACCACCCATTAAATAAAATGCAACCAAAACAACCAATCGCTTTCAAATGTCAGGTTGTAAATAGTGACCCGTCTGTCTACGGCTGTCTAAACAGTAAATGAGAAATTCCTCAGAGAACATTGAGTTCATCTAGTAATATACATACATGATTCACAGTAAATGTTATCTAAATGCACTTTACAAGACAAATAGATCCGAATTCCACACAGAAATAATAAAATCAGCCTAAATGGTCAAACTCAGTTTCTTTCATTTGCATTCCAGTTCATTCCTAGTGATGGTGCAACGGAGTCAAATTTAGTTTGTGATACCATATAATTATCTATAGTGGCTTTTTCTTGCAGGGTGGTGGGGAAGCGCAAACATATTTTGGACGAAAAGTTGATGCAAGAGTACAAGACAGGATAATCCAGTAGGAAACCTGTTAGTGGTTTCAAAACATTTGAGTGTTAAGGTGGAGGTTCACATTCCAGCATTACAATGACAGCCAGAGCTACAATGCAACAGGTAAAATCAAAGCATAGTCATGTGTTAGAATGGTCCAGTTAAAGTCCAGACCGACTTCCAACTGCAAAAATGTGGCGGGACTTAGAAATTAGTGGTCTTGGTGGAATTAGTATGTCTTCTTGCTTCCGCTTTAAAGTTATGCTCAAGTTTATGTTGGGTGAACTTGATTTTATAGAGAAGGGTCTGAAAGGGTCTGAATCAATTTTCACGTCAATCTATCAAGAGCTTTGTAAAATAAATAAATAAATGATGACTCTTTTCACTTAATTATGTCTAACTTTGTGTTGGTCTATCACATAAAATCTCAAGAGAGAAGATTGAAGTTGTGGTTGTACTTTGACAAAAAGTGAAAACATTCCCATATTATTATTACTTTTGCAAATCACACTTATTATCTTCTGTCACGTTTCTCCTGCCAGTCTCTCTTTGCATAGCTGCACTTTTTTTTTCCTTCTTTCAGAACACATGGCTCTTTGTTTTAATCAAAGTAATGTAAAGCTGTTTTTTGAGTGTTTTTCCATTAAAAGCTTCCCGCACTAATTTAATTTCCTCTTACATGGCTGGAGCTGTGCTGCAAGATAACAAGGTTAAGTGAGTTTAGTGTTCAGCATATAACTAGGTTGACTGACTCCATACATATACTCTACCACAATTACAGTTGGCTGCTGTTTTTCAGCCATGCTGGTAATTGGAGCAGAGTGTAAATCAACAGCCTAAATGGCACCCTGGGGTTTTCCTTCAACATTTATCATGAGATCAGATTAACTTTATGACTGAAGGAATCAGATGCTTGCTTAGGTTCAATGTGTGAGCAATAACTATCCCTCACTGTGCAGCCCAAGACAAAGTGCAATTTAAACACCAATTAAGCTGCATCTCGTAGCGGCTTTAGCCAGGCCCGATGGTGTCGACTGTGGCCGTTAATGTCCTGCTGTGACACGCACGGACGGGGGCTCAGACTGAAGGACCTGGGACCTCTGAGTACCAGTTCCCCACCACATCAGCACTGACACACTTCCTCTTTGATTGCTCATTGCCCACATCTTTCATCTTTACAGGGTCATAATCCTTGCCCCCCTCTGCACGCCCCACACTCACTCCCTCTTTCTGCCCTTGCACAGCTCTGTAGTTTTACAGGGGGCTGCTGCGGCGATCCATCGACTTAAATGAGCCCAAGCTGTCCCCTCTGGTGGAGTGCAGCCACCTTACGCACCTGAAGCCTGCGGGTGTGTAGTGGTGAAGAGGCCCAAGCCTGGCAGGTACAAGCCCTTTACAAGGCTCCTAATGAGGGCCTGCTGGCTAGGGAGGGTGGAGGCAGATGTACTGCTCTGGTCCAGTGGCTATACCTCTGAAATTGCACCTATTGTAAAAGTAATACTGTAAGTGCTACTGTAAGCTCAGTCCTAAAGCTGTAGGAAGGGAAATTGTAGCCTTGTGCCACTGAGAGGTTGGAGTCTTGCAAAGCAATGAAACCAACAGAAATAAAACTTGAAAAGAAAGAAATTTGTGAGACGGATAATTGGAAAAAAGTTGCAAAAAACTATTTGTTTCAAATGGACGATGTTTGATTTAAGAAGGGAGAGTCGAAAAACTGCAATTTCTCACTGAATCCAAAAGTCTGTTTTGGGAAAAAAAAAAAAAAGATACCCTTCTCTGCGGTCATTGGCTAAAAACAGAGCAGAACGTTCTGCTCTGCCTCAGGTGGTGGGTTCATCTTGTTGCTTGCCCCTCGCCTTACTGGGTCAAAGACGTTAGTGCACTGAAAGGCCTTGAGGCTTTCGGGTGATGGCGGGAACCAAATGGAGCGTCCCCCTCATGGGCGCGTGTTTGTGGCGCCCGCTGGCATGGGTGCAGAGGTCCACTATGCCTGACACCGTGGATGACTAATGAAGTGCTATTTCAGGGCCTTAGTGTGACCTCACACACATTCATAATCACACCCACAAGTTCTCCCAGCTGCCGTGCACCTAAGGTGGGTCGGGTGCACCGTTCCGCATCATTTAGAGGTGCTTCAGTGCAAGCAGAACTGATGAGGTTCTAATGACTTTATATACAAAGGGCAGTCACACTGGGCTATTATAACTTATATAGCTTTACAGCACCACTGAAGCTGTGGATTTGTTGCTTAATCTCTTGTTGTGTAGTTCTTTTACTTCTTACATTTGATGTGAAAGAAGCTTTTAGCTGTAAGCTTTGCTACCACTTCAAAGGGACAGTTCAGGATTTTAAAAATGGACCTGCATGATGACGGCCTTACTTATGGTGACTGCTTTTTCCTGGAGTCTTCGTTTAGTATAAATCCAAGTTAGTTGGTTCTAAGGGCTAAAGCTAACAGCCAGTCCAGAAGGAGGTGAGACCAAGATGAACTTCTACTGTGTTAAAACAGCTCAAACCTGGATTGAACACCATCTCCTTGTCTGAAACTCAGACTAAAAGAACATTTCTGATCAGACAAATTTTCTCAGAAAAATAATAGGGAGATTATATTTTCATCTCTGCACCTGTTATTGGATGGGTCAAATTAGGCAGCATGAGAAGATTTTGTCCTCAGAGTTGATGTCTCAGACTCAAAGCTATAGATTCTGGCAAGTTTGACACGGGCCAAGTGTGATAGCCATCTGTCCAGTCTGCAGTATTTAACAATAGTGGTTCAGAGAAGGAGAAGTGATGAACTGGTACAGGACCTTGGCCCGGTGCTAATTTATTTATATGCAAAGTGAAGGCTGGCCTGTCTGGGCCACTCCCAGCAGGATAATGTAAAATACTTCAGAAATGATACCACAGCAAGCCTTCAAGGTCAGGCCTCTGCCTCTATGGTTTAGGGCTGTTTTGGCAGTGGAAAGGGAACAATGAACTTACAGTAGATATTTCACACACAAAGATCACTGGTGGCCATCCATCTCATAGCTCCATTTTGCTCCAAACTACCATAGCATTTTTGACATTGGAACCTCTCCCGGCCTTATACTAAATGGATTTATACTAAATGAGAAGACAGTTATCAGCTACACATCAGATATTAACAGTCCCTCTTTAGGCACTTATACTGTGAACTGCAACCATCCAACCCAAAACAACAATGACAGACATCCTTTAAATCCTTGTTGTTTCTTATGTTTGGTTTTTGATATTACACCAAGCCTCTGCTATCTTCACAATCACTATCAGTGAAGTCCTCCATTTCTTTTTAAACAAGGCTGAACTGAAAACACTCACATTGCAGAGTATTCCCTACCTGGCGTTCGGGACATGCCTGAGCTTCTAGTATGTTTTATGACACCATTAGGAATGGGAGCGAGGGAGAGCATAAGTAGGGCCAAGGCAATTAGCATGCCAAGTGGCCCTTTATGATAGCTGTAAAGGAGCTGGTTCAAATCCCCAATACAAAAATAAGCATGAATTCCAATTTAGGGCCTAATGAACAGCAGGGTGTCTGGTTAATATTTTTAGGTACCATTTATGTTTGCGGTGAAACCTCAGTGGACATAGAGGAAATAAAAGCAGGATAGTTAAGGGTTGAAACACTGCCAGATATCATCAGTCACCTCCAGCAGAAGCGTCTTTCCCCTTTGCTTTGTCCTTCAACACTTTGGAGACATTTCATCCCCCCAAAAAAGGGGCAATTAGTCTCCATTCAGCTTGTCTCTTGTCATAGCAACTAATAGGAAGGATTTTCCATTTTCTCTGCGAGCCATTTCTTGTTTTGTTTGTTTATTGGCTTATGTCACCTTGGCACGCTTTTTCTTTTAGCACAACACGATGGCTTTGGGTGCTGAATCTTCAGTCTGCACACATTAGTGTTTCCCCGCAACCATTTAATAACCCTCATGCTCCATTAAATGTCACCTGAGATGAAAACTGCAGAGTTTTGTGTTCTGTTTTTTTTTTCTTCTACTGTATCTGGAATCATTAAAATTATGCCCCTTTTCCTATTTTTGAATTTGTTTATTTACTCACCTACCTGCTTTCCCCCCTCTCTACTCACTGTCACCCACCTTCCATGTCTGCCCACACTGGCATCATCAAAACACTGTCAAAGGTTCAATGTGAGACGTAGAAAGAGAATGAAAGACAGTGAGGAGAGGCGGGGAGGAGCAGGTCCCGGGATGCTTTATGGGTAACGCTGTTAAACGAGGCACGACGCGCGGTACACGGCACCCCTTCAGCAGAGCACACTTCAAAGCCTGTTTTTGCACTTGTACTGTCAACATTTGGGGAGAGGGAGCGGAGTGAGGGTGGAGGAGCAGCCTTTGAGCAGCGCTGGGTCTTAACACACCTCTTCTCCTGTCTGTTTTTCCTTTAAGCTCTCCGCCTGTGTTCCAAATTGGTTATGTGCTCGCTGCATTACTTCACTTTTTTGCTTTTTACCCAATCCTGCTATATATTTTTTATTTTGTTAACGTCCCACTTTCTCCTCACCCGCTCTGACTTTTCCCTGTTTTTTTGTTTTGTTTTGTTTTTGTTTTTTTCCTTAAACTAGCTCCTCTGTCTTATTGGTGTGGTTACAGTGGGTGGATATATGTGTGTGGTATTAGGTGAGGTGAGCAGGGAGCCAAGGGTGTAGCATCAGTCAGGCCTGTCACCTATGAAGAAGAATTGAACCCGTAATGCATGAGCCCCATTTCTCCCTGGCTGGCAGCTCTTCACAGAGAAAACTCGTGTTTGATTGAAATCTTTTTTTTTTTTTTCTCGTACCATTTCTTTTTGTTGATCCCCTTTGCTGCTGTACATGAGAAGGAAAAGCCACACTTCCCACTGACAAGCAAACTTTTCTTTGTGTGCATGCTTTTACAAAGAGTTTTTGTTTGGACAGAAACGTCACTGTGCAGAATTAAACTGCTGTGCAGCGATTTTTTTATTTTTTTTTTTTGCTGCTGCTGCAGCCGTCTGGCCGTGTAAATGGGACTAATAACGTGAAGTAATCCTGCACTGTAACTGCCCTACTTTTGGTGTTATGTTAGATTTTTTAACTTTTTCTTTTTTTTTTTTTACTAAGAATAAAAAAATTAATATTAGCAGCTCAGCAAATTTCAATATAAGTTAAATAAAAAGGGGGGTTTTATTACAGAAATGTTATGTTAAATTATCACGAGGAAGTTTTCAAATTTTATGGCATCGCCATACGAGGAGGATAATTCCTCCCAAATCAGTCGGCTGTTTAAACATTTCTGTTTCCAAAGATTAAAAAAAATGGAAAGTTGAGTGGAAGGAAAACGTATGGTAGAAAAATGTGCCCGTGCAAACAGGAAAACCAAAGCAGAGTACTGTGAAGAAAACCATTTCAAGAGTCTTGGGGGAGTTTCATTTAGTGTTGACGGCAGCAGGAGTCAGTGCTTCAGGAGATCCTGATTTAATTTCACAGGTCGCTGGTCATATTGTTAAAAGTGCGAATACTTGGTTTACTTATCAAGGTGACCACTTATTTGATTGGATATAATATGAAAGACACAGGGCAAGTATGTCGCTCTGCGACTAAAGAACATTTAGGAGTTTCATTTCACTAAATAACGTATCATTTCAGTTTCAGTGAGACCACATCCACATTACGGGATTAGCAAATCTGCAGATAACCAAACTTCTCTCTATTTTACATTTTCTCTTCATTAAGGAACACAAACTGTTACCAGGAGGAAGTGGGAAGTTAAAAATAATAAAAATAAACTGTTCAAACTTTAAGTTTATCAGAAAGATGGGAGTCTAGTTGTAAAAGTTATTAAATACTAGACCAGGTGGTTTTATTTGACGCAGAGCCTCGTCTGTCTTTTCATCAGTTTCTCTCTATTTTGTGCCACTAAGTCCTGCACAGGCGTCACTGATTACTGTGCTACTTGACTGTGGACAGTAAGGAGGACCCAGAAAGCCTAGTGAGAAGTGGATGATGGGAAAAATGCACAGTAAATGAGGTTTTGTCTGCTTAAACTGCACAGTTATAGAGTTGTAATAATGCAGACTCGAGGAGTCAATTTTCTGTGACGTTGGTGGCATGGAGCACATGTGTGCTTTTTGGTTCCTGCTACATGTAGGGTTTGTGCATTTCAGGACCGGAAGGCTTTATCGAACCGTCAGAGAGATGATAAAGGTTTGTTCTCAGCCGGTGCCGAGACGCTTCTGTCGTCGTCCACAGTAGATAGAGCCACCATGAGACAAAACAGTGAAACATTACTGATGTGGGTTTGCTGTCTTCCTGAAGAATCAGAGAAGGTGTCAGTCAGTCAGACAAACAGAGTAGCCTGTAGAACATCAACTTATGAGAGTATTCTCAGACGCTTCTGGCTCTTTGGTGCCGAGTCTGTTAAGTCTGTTTTTTCCTACTGGTATTCTGATTCAGTGGCTACTGCTTGTCAATTTCTTGAATCTGTGCGAGTCGCTGCTGAATGTTTGTGGATGTCTGAAAAGCGAACGGTTGCCGGTGACAGCCTGTAGTTGCTCAGCCACGTTGATGTACAGTACCCATCACGTTCAGTTCAGAGCAGGTTTTTATCTAAATAAATAATTGTGAAGTGGAAGATCATTTGTTCAGGTCGTTGTCTTACTAGAAGGTGAACCTCCATCACCTCAAGCCTTTTTCTATTTCTAACTAGGTTCTAGATGCTCACAGTGGTTTGCAGTGATAGTTTTTCATTTTTTATGCAGGCCAAAATCTTCCACTTTAGTCTCATCTGACCAGGACACCTGTTCCATAAAAGCCTTTGCATCATTTTTATTTTAGAATCACTCATATGCAGACATTTGTTTGAACTAAATGAAGTTACACCAACTTAATTGCTTCAAAGCTGTGGATACAGGCCACAGTCCCTCGGTGAGTTACAAACAGCAATAAAAGCCAGTATCCCACCAGTTAAGTATGTACAGTTTAGCTTTTCTTCTTTGGCAGTGTCAGTAATTTATTCATGTGCATTTGATGATCTTAAAGCCTGCAGATAATTGGGTATACCTCCGAGAGACATAAATCTACTAATTCTTCCACAGTCCTGCACTGAGCACTTTGTTTCTGTTTTATTGAGTGTTGGGTCATCAACTGAGTGCTTCCAGCGCTGGCTCAGAGCAGACAGCTGCTGCATTCAGTTGTGATCATGTGGAGGAAATGAAATGAAAGGCCTGTGCAAGTTAAGTTTAATAAGCTGATGGGCTGTACTTACGTTTGAGGCCCATGCAGTGTTTGGCTTCACCATTATGCAGATTTCAACTGGCAATATGTCCAGGGATTTTGTTTTTCTCTGTGTTTCTACTCACCGTCTAGGAAGTCAAATGCATTTTTTTCCCTCATCGACTCGTCTAACATTGAATTAGTCAAGGTTCTTAATGTTTCAGGTGAGTTGGAATTATCTAAATTATTTATACTTGCTAAATTTCAGAATTTAAAAAAAAGATATAGTTTTAAAAAAAGATATAGTTTTAAATAAGTTTTAGGTGTTCTTCAAATACGGAGTTTGTCCTTCGTGTTTGTACAACAATCATTTCAGCTGAATGACTCTCGTCAAATGTTTCTGGGATCCTTACATGAACTTCCCATGAAAGTTTGACGATCTCTCAAAAGACCTGCTGTAACCGACTCGGGTTTTTGACGTTTGCTTTGCTCATACACGCCTTTCCGGTTCCACCCACATATTTTCTGTTGGACTGAGATCAGGACTTTGTGATGATCGCTCCTAAGTTTGTAACTTAGTGGCTCTGTGCTCCATGTCACTGTGTGTTGAAATCCTAGCTTGTATCCTGAGATGCTGCTCCAGTAATTTCACAAAATGTTCTTTCCTTGTAATGCCATTTTTTTCCCTCAATGTGCTCCAGCATCTACTACAGCAAAACAAGTAGCTGCTGGAGCATCTATGCTGTGTTGGTGTCATTAGACTTGGAAATGTTCACCTTTTTCCTCTTAATGTAACAATGGCACATATAGCAAAACATTTCAGTTTTAGTTTTATCAGTCCAAGAGACACATGTCCATAGAAAATAGTCTTTGAATTAATTTGTAGACTATAATCTGGCTTTTTATGTTGTTTTTGTTTCTTGGGAAGTTATGGCTTCCATAATGACTTCTCTGAATGGTTGCTCTGGTATTTCACAAAATAAAATAATTTTGGTTACCCTAATTGCCATGAAACAGGAAAAGTTTAATTGAGCTTTTTTGTTGTTTTTTATTACTGTATATTCACTGCACAGCCCGTTATAGTCAGAGAAATAACTTAAAGGCCAAAACCACAGAGTCCTTCATGTGTACATGAGCCGTCAAGGCAGAACTGAAGGTCAAGCCTTTGGAAGCCTGCATGGAAAAAGGAACATAAACAGATATTTTTAGAGGAATGAAAACTCTCATTAATTGAGTTGTTTAACTGCGTCGGTGCAGCCATAAATATGAGGTGGATGTTTGTTTGGTCACTGTGGAATAAATAGTTCAAAACCTTAAAAAAAATCCCCCCAGGATCAGATCAGAGCATTGATAGTTAATATTCTAATCTGATGTCGTGTGATGTAACGGCAGATTTATATGCAGGGTAAGGTATTTGTAGGCAACATTTTATACAGCATCTTTTCTCGTTCCTCTCTGTCTCTGCTGGGACGGCTGCTGGCTGTCCAATCCGTCCCACGGGCCCTCGCCCTGTTCTTTGTTTGTCCGTCTGATCCCCTCCTGCAGGCCACTGCTGCACATCTGTGTGTGTTGTTGTTGCATGAGCATATGTGGACCTTTTGCAACAACAGTGCTCCTCTTCAGTGCTTTTGAAGCGCGTGCACGTCTGCATCTGTGCGTGCGCGCGGTAATCAGTGTGTAATCCCTTCCCCGAGGCCGCCGTTCCACACAGCTGGACCGGAGCCTCTGGAGGGGCCTCCGCGCTGCTCAAGCATCCTTTGCTCTCTCCACCTGACCGACTGGTGTGTGCATGTGTGTGTTTTAACAGGTGCAGTACCAACAGCTGAAACTGGATCCCAATCCCAGTCCAAATAAAAGGAAGAAAAACAACCCCGGGTAGATCGCTGCATCTGCCCACGGACTCCTCTCTCCTTCATTTCTTTTCCTGCTGGTTGGATGCTGGACGCTGAGAAGCCAAGCCTGGGCTGAACCATCCTTCTTCTATTTATATCCTGCTGTATTTTGTTGAACTTCATTTCTCCCTTCAGTAGGCTTTACACTTTCTCTAATTTTATATGAGCAAAGACTTCAAGTAATCTTATTATTATTATTGTATTGTATGCATTATGTATTGAATCATTTTTGTACCAGCCACGTGAGCCGCTGTGTCCTTCCCTCTGGGAGTGTGTGCGCTTGCCACAGTAGTTAAACAGGTTCAGTTAAATTATCTGTAGATAATAGATGCTATTTAGATCAACATGAGATATAAATCCAGGCCTTAAACGATCATTCTCAACATTTCTTTAGCTTGTACTATAGCTTTGAAGCTTTTTTGGTACAATGTTTCTATTTTCTAATTGTTTTTTATACTATTACGTCCTCATTTTTTTTAATCTCCTCTTGAATGTTTTGACAATTTTATGTTTTGCTGGCAGTAATTCGAGTTGCTGCTGTCTAAATTAACGAGCCGATTTCGTCCCAGGTGCATCTCGGTAAATTAAATTATCATTAAATCGTTGGCTGGACCGAGAGCCCTGAGAGCCACCATGCTCCAGATGTGTCCAGGATGTGGTCACCCTGTGTGTTAAGCCACTCCAGAACCAGAGACGATGTCAGAAGCGTCTTACCTTGATGAAGAAATCAGAGAACTGGACTGTTGCTGAGTGCGGGCTGCAGATCTCTTCTTAGATGAGGGGGGCACGTTCGATGGGTTTTACATTTCAGATCGACACCAAGCCTCTTAAGTCTGGTTTTTATTTTCCAGTAGGACTCGGTAACAGCCTGCACTGCCAAAAGTACCAATGCCTGCTTTAATAACCGCGGTATCACTGTGCTCGATCACGGGCCCCTCAGACAATCTATGAAGAGACTCCAGATCCAACGGTTGAAGCTGAAGGGTCGCTATTACATTATCAAAAAATAAGTAAATAAATCAAAAACTTTTGTAATTAGTCTTCTATAATTTCTTAAACCAAACCCAGAAATATTTTGCTGTAGATAATGAACTTGGAACAATTTGCCATTTGGAGCCAAAAATAATATAATATTCAAATTTATCGAGATGCAGTTGTGAAAAAGAACCTGGACCAACAGGCCACGAGTTCCTGTTTTTCTCACGAAACCAATGAGTAGGAACAAGGTTGAGCATTGGATCTCTAGAAAGTGTGCAGTTTAACCCCGTCAGCACCATCAGTCAGTCGGTACGACACGCTGCGGACTGGGCCTGCTGTCGCTGTGCTTATATAGACGTCACCCGGTCTATGCAGAGTGTCATCGAGCAGGCAGGCAGGCAGGCCGGCACAGCCCTAATCTTGTTTGAAAGGCCGGTCTCTTTCCCTCTCATCTCCCTGTGTGTTTGCCTTGGCGGCCACACATGAAAGCGTTTACACACGAGGCGCACGTCTGCAGCGCGGGCACGCATGCAGACACACAGAGCCTCTGCCTCTCTTCCTCCCTCCCAGGAGGGAAGAGAGAAAGAACGCATCTCCGGTAGGAAGTCTTGCACACCGTAACTACTTGCTCGCAGATAGAAAAACAGTGTCATATTTGAGCAGGAACGGTTTCTCCCTCTCAACCAAGCACACACACGCGCACACACACACAGGCAGACATGCAAGCATGCTCTCTATGATGCTGCGCCCCGGGCTGGCCGCCCTCTCCATCTGCCCCACCTCCTGTGCCCACAGCTCAACTTTGATCAGCCCTTCCAGAGACACGGGCGTGTATGTGCACGCTGTGTATTTACAGAGGAGTGTTTGCATACACACGTTTATGCAATCAAAGATTCTCTCAGCGTCAGTGTGTGGTACAATTGCATCTCCCCTCCAGCTCTAGACTGACACTCAGATTCGATGTGTGTGTGTACGTGTGCGTGTATGTGCTGCAGCAGAGGCACCAGCTGTTTTTCGGTGTTGACTTTGTGGAGATGCTTGATGAGCAGCAAGTCATTGTGTGACAAGACAAGGCTCTGAGGGGACTTAGGCCTGAGATGTCAGGGATGGAGGAATATTTGTGTGTGTCTGCGTGTGTGTGCATGTCTTTTATCCTATTTCAAAACACACGTCCCGTCATGCTTTCCCCGTTTGCTCTCTCTGCGGTTTCCTCATTCGTCAGTAAGCAGGGTTGCGACCCTGTCTGAAGGGATGGTCTCTTGGGCTCCTTGTAGAGCTTCTCTTGAAAGATCACAGCACAGGCTATGTTTGAGGAGGTCCTGTCTCATCCTATTGATCCCTGCCTCCATTTCCCACTGCCTTCACTTCTTTGTCTGACTGTCTTTAAGTCAGTAAAACCCCGGCTCACTGCATCTAGTGTCGTCTTCTCCCCTCATCCGTCTGTCTCTGTGCCGCCGCCTTCCACCTTTTGAAGCTCCGCTCTGCTTCATAGGTTTGTTCCCGTCCTCCGATAAATGATTTTATCGTTCAATTCATTTGGGAAGCGGTAATAAAACTTTTCTTCGAGCATTGCCACAAACTTGTTACCTGAGAGGATGGCGCTTTTGTTTTGCCCGATGAACTGCTTGAATACTTGACACTTTTGTTTTTACTGCAACAGTGCCTGTATCATTTGTTGACACCCCCAGTACTGAGTATAAAAAGCCTCAATTTTTTTATTGCAACAAGATAATCTCACACAAGAACAAACCCAAAATCTTTAGTGGGGAAAATATTATATTAAGAAATCAGCACCTACTGTAACAGTTCCCAGTAAATAGATGTACCTGAACCATCTTTAAAACACATATTCATATGTTTTAAATTGATCAGAGATTATAAGAAACCCTACTTAGTCATTGATCACCTGCTGTTTTCTGGGGTTTAAATATGACATGTCACATTTTGTCAACTCTACAAATACAGAAAAAAAATCAAGGCAACATGCCTTTTATGTAACAGATATAAGTTTAAAGTGTAGACCAATTGAATGGTTTGGTTAATTTTTCCATTTTCCATGTATGCCTGTTGCAGAAATCAGGAGTTACATGTGAAATCAACACTAAGAAATTCAATATGTAGCTTCTTAAACCCTCCACCGCCAAAAAAAAAAAAAACCCACAAACAGAAACACACAAACAAAAAAACAAAACAAAACATAGTGTTAAATGAACCATTTTCAGACTTGTCGTTTTTTTTTTTATAGGATAAACAAGTGGACCTTGTTTTCCACAGGAGACTCTCACTGTGGACACATTCTCAGAAGTCTTAATGACATTTTCTTGAAGAATGTATAAGAACATGATCAGCCGTTGAAATGTTTAGTGCATTAGTGGGGAAATGCCTTTTATGTACCCAGCCGCATAACCCAATAAGCCGAGTTAAGTTCGGATGCAGTTTTTTAGATCGTAATCTTCATAGTTAATGCCTCCCATGACAAACAGAGCTTTAATTATCGTCAGAACCCGTTTGGTTTCTTCATAAATTATGCTCACATCAACCTGTTGCCATTTACATTTTTTACAGTAGTTTCTCCATTTTTGTAGTTTTCATTTGCTGCTTCCATGTGTTGTCCTGTTTGTTAAAGTATTTGTTGCAGTGTTACCAATTACTTTGCCATTTGTGAGTTTACAAAAATGATTTCTTAGCCCCACCACATAAAAGTAATGCAATTTAATGTCAGATTCTAAAAAAAACATTTTGTATTGTTAGACAATGCTGTTGCTGCAATCGAAAAAAGACAACAAAAAAAAATCTGGCTTTTTCAAATCTTCACTTGGGGTATCAACTAATTTGTCAGTGACTTTGTGTTGCAGATTTGAGTGTGGTAATGCATCCAAATGTCCCTTTTTGTATGTCGAGAAAAAAATGAATAAGAAGAATGTATTGCGCTGACAGCTGTAAAGGAAAGAGAAGCACTTTTATTTGAATGAGACTATTTATTTTTTAAAGAATACTGTACATAGCTAACTGATTAATGTATGGTTGTATTTTATACAGTATGCCTGTTGATGTTCTGGTAATAATAGTAAAGTAGGTGTATTGCCTGCCTTGATTTTTTAATTTTTTTAATGTTTGTCTTGTCTGCCTGCAAAATCTTTTGCTTGTGACATCATCTCTGTGTCCCTTTACAACCAACAAAATTTACAGACATCACAGCTGGAAGGAAGGGCATAATATGTTGTATACCTCTAATTTAAGTAATGATGATCATCTGATAAATGTGGCTTATTTTGGGTCAAAAAATAGTGAAACTAAAACTTTCAATTAAATATTTTTTATCAACTTCCCTTTGTGTGGATATTATTGACACATTTGCAGGCACACTTCTGGCTTCATTTGCTTTCCTCCCATTTCAACAACAGCAGCAGCAAATACTGTGATGCAATTTTCAAAAAAAAACAGAGAAAACCCTCACCCAACTTTTCTTCAAAATAAAACACACTTAAAGGATACAAAATTGAATTTTGCATATGTCCCATATAGCAGGTAGATGGATGCAATCATCAGACACCGGGATGGAAAATAACTCTAGGAATTACAAATACATGTACTTTTCCATAATGTGGAGCTAGAAAATATATGTACTTAAAATGTGTGTATAGGTTTCAAGAACCAGAACAACTTTGCAGTGGCACCATAATAAAAGAAAATCCACTTGTTAGAGCGCCTTCTACGCTTACAAATAGAGCCGTCACTTTGTTGTTCTTTTACAGCAGTTTATGGCCACACCTCAGCTATTTTACGAGATCGAGAATGAGCACAGAGAGAGAAAGAAAAATCATAAAATATATATGCACCGTTTATTTACACCGGTGCTTTAACGTTTCCAAGTACACTTTACTGCAGGAAACGGAAAGGAGGGGGGTGGACCACTTGTCAGTCTCATGCTTTAGTTGGAAATAGGACCATTGCACTCCGGAAGTGAAGGGGGCGCTATTTAATATATTATCCGTTACCTCCCGTTTTTATTTTCTTTTAAAATCTGTGATACATTTTCACCTGGTCCCATTTCCAAATAAGGTATGAGACTGACAGCGGTCTGGTACCGGCCCTTTTTGTTTGCTGGTCCTTCTCAAAGTTTCTCACTTTTTATTATGTCATTTTTACTGGCTGACACGAATAAAGTAAAAAACACATATACTCTACAGATCTTACACAGTATCAAAAAGAGTGATGGCATAAATGAAAACTGTAAACTATCTTAAATAAAGATTCCAGACAACTTTAAGGAGGTTTGTTCTTCAGTCACATTTAAATAAGGTTGTCATTTTCAGGTCCTGGTACCGGCACCCATCTGCCAGGCGCTGCTTTCTGGAACAGGCTTGGCAAGTTGCTTAAATAAGGGATTTCCACACAGCAGGAGGAGCATGTTATTAATAACTATTAATAACTGAGTAACAGTAGCAGTGTCTGATTAGACTCAAACATCTTAACTTTTTTTAATTGTAATTTTCTTAAATATTTATGGTTTTTAATGGCTGAACAGTAAACCAATTTGGACTTTTCTTTTAAATTTTATACAGTTCTTTAAATAAATCTATATGACAAAACAGATTTATAAATAGGGAAAGTAGCCATGTAAAAGTGAAACAGCAGGTAGTGTACAAGGAAATGTTAGTGTTCATATGAGGCTGAAAATAGTACAAAAATAAATACTTTTTACATTCAAAAATTGTTTGAAAAATATATGTCAAGTCAAATGACCTGACAAAACACAGACTATATTTTTAGCACAAGTAAAACAAGTTATCACTGTAGAAATGACAGTCCATTGATATGTACAAACCATTTTCAGTGGGTATGGGGGATTGCATCATTATGGAAAACCCTCAAGGACAAGATGTGCAATTTTTTTCCCACCCTAACTTTTCTTACAAATCAGCAACCAGTGCCTTGCCACGAGCCTGCAGGTTCTCCAGTGTTTCCATTAGGAAAACCGTGTTCTCTCCTCTGCACTCCTTGACAGCCGCAGACATCTGTTCTTTGTGCTCTCCTCGACTGAACCTCAACAACGTCTCCACGTCTTCCGCCAGCCTCACTGCCCGCTGATCTGTCCAGTTCAAAGTGACTTTCTGAAGGGAGTGTTTCTCCAACACAGCGACTAGCTTGTAGACCAGGGTGTGGGGTCTGTTCCCGGACTGTGTGAGGCCAGGCAGGCCCCTCTCCATTTGGTAGGAGAAAACGAGGTGGCCCAGCAGACTAGATCCAGCCTCGAGGAGAGGAAAGTTCAAAACCTGCGTTTTGTCTTTGCTCGTTCGGGCTGAATCTCTGACCTGAGCGCTGCGGAGGAGCTCCTCCCTCTGACTCGGTACAGAGACCAGATCCAGCGGAGTCCGTCCGTCTCCGTCGGTCTGCTGGAGAAGAACCGAGCCTGAGGGAGACAGAGACATCCAGAGTAAGATGAGACAGCGCTAAGACCAGGCTTCAGACAATGTTTTTTAATAGAAACACTAGAAAGATAAATAAATCTGAAACTAATGCTTGAAAGTAAGAAGAACAGAAAGTGTTTTGTTGGGTGATATACTTTATAAAGCACCACATTATTAATAGGGTGCAAAGAAGAAAGAAACTTGAGTATGCCTATTTAAGTTGTAAGTAAATTATTTACATGAAATAACAGCTTTGAAAAAGTATAACATACAAGATTTGCTTATTTTTTTTAAAAAGAAGAAGAAAAATAAAACCACTATCTTAAAATGTTTAAAGTCCCGGTAAATTAAGTTTATAAATACATACTTTTGCAAGTAGAAAGGTTGTAAGAAATATCAAAGCATCAAAGAAATATTGGCAGGTCATTTAAGGTAAGCCAGAGCACAGCGCCCAAATTTCAAAATCGCACAGTGACCTTAAACGTGGAGGTTAATGATTTCAATGTTAGCAGCAAGTTTAAGCCTCAGTGATAAAAGACGAAACAGATTTGCAGCCAAGTTACTTTAGTCTGCGGCATCATTATCAAATAAGGCGGAAGAGACACGACACGGGTCAACGGCAGGACGAGGTAACAGAAATACATTGGCTCCGTGAGACATACTCGCACTCTCATCCAAACGCACAGTGTGAGAAGTGGAAGGCTTAAATGAACAGCTGTTTTCCCACCGGCCCTCAGCGCCAGACGGGCCTATTAGCTCACTTCAGCGCTAACTTCAGCTGACACTTCGCCTTAGCTCGGTGACTGGCAGGTCACTTTGTGTTTGTGTTAAAGGCGCAGAGGGTTAGTGACCTGACGGTGGCTCAGCTTTTCTTTTTTTTTGACGCACTGCTGTAAGTGAGCTCATGGCCGTCGACGCAGACGCAGGGAGCCGCTGAGTCGCAGCAGACCTCGAGTCCGGCGTTGGCAAAAATGTGCCTTGTTGGAAATTTAACGAGGGAGTCAACAGTGATGGCAAAGTTCTCCATTAATTCAAATCTCTTGCGAGTGTAAAAATAAACACTTAATATATAGTTTTAATTGTATACCTTCAAAACGTCTCCACCGACCTTGGCTTTCCCCTTCCGGCGCTGCTGCGATGCATTCAGCTTGAGGTGACAGTCGGTGCTGAATGCAACACTTTCTTCTCTCCCTCACAAGGCGAAGCGAAGCAAAGTTCTGATGCTGACATTTACCACCTTGTGTCTCTGCTCTCTATTCAGGCTGAAAGCCATTTTCCAGCATCAGACAGGCCCGCGCACATTTAGTCTGCGGAGCGGGTCGAGTTGGGAGTGAGCCCTTTGTTTGCTTTCAGATAGACCCATTTCTATAGCAAACTGCTTTTGATGGCACTTGACTGTTCAACCTTGGCAATGCTACTACCACTTATGAGCAGGTTTACGGCTCTGCGGAGGCTCTGTATGACACGCTCACAGCTGAAGGGCTGCTTGATTACACTGCTGGCACTTATTTGCAGTTTGACAGACACTGGGGTTGAAGGAAGTGTGAAACTAGAATGAAGGGATGATTGTGTACTATAACAAAGGATAAAGCATGCACACTGGGCCTCCCTGCTGGCATTTTGATAAAAATTTTTTTTGTAAAAGTCACAAAATAATTCAGAATTTATAGGGTTTAGTTATGGTCAACACAGCATACAATGTTCAACTGGCCATCATTTGGTCCTTGTTTTAAATTAGTTAAAATCTGCTTTGAATAACATATTCTTGGATGGATGTCACCTCTGCTAGTAATAAAAATAATTGATGGCTGCTCAAGCCAAGAGGTTTAATTCTATTAATAGTTCTTAAGGAGACCTGGTATCAGAAGGTCGGTGCTTCACAAAAATCAGAGATCAGAAATAGGCACCAAATTTCTGATTGGTACATTTCGGCTCTTAAGATTATTTGTGAGAGCTCCCAGCAGAAGGTAAGTGCTCGTCTACCTTTTAGTCTTTCAAATCTGAATGGGCAAAAAAACCAATCAGCATAAATTGTGGCATTAATCTACATAAACATTTACATAAGCATGGATATTTTAAATACAAGGGTCAGTGGTTGGGGGCAGCAGTCAAGGATGTGAGAGTGCAAATTTGATCAAAGTGGCCACAAGAGAAAGGCAGAGGTTAGGGACTGATGTGAGAGCGTAAGTGAGGGAGAGTGAGGTTGTTCACAGCGGGACATAATCACCAGGTTTCTGTAACAAGCTGTCTTCAGCATCAGCAGGAGTCGGTGTCGATACTGCTCTCAATCAGGAGGAATGGCTGTGTGACGTTAACTAAGGCATTAAGCCTTAGTTAAATTGCCTCAAAACAAAACTGCAAAAAAACTGGATTCATCATGGTACTTGGTGGACAGACTCCTAAAAGTTCTGCTCTAAACCTGCTTTTGAAAAGAGAGTTCACAGGGAGCAACTTTACCGTTGAACTTTTTACACTTTTTATTTTAATCAATAAGTCTCGCACCAAAAGTTACCTCTTGGTGTGTTTCGGTGAAAATCACACATGACAGGAAAATCAGAAATAACGATACTCTGCTCTGGTGTTATTAGTTTTACTGTCTGCCATGTCTCCAGAACAGCTCTGTTTTCTTCGCAGCAGATCCAGGAGATAAAGAAATGCAAGCCCGTTTCCCAGAGTTCCCCGCCGTCGTCATGTCAAACCCAGTTGACAGACAGGCTCCAATCAGAGGTTTGACACTGGAGCACGAAGGAGGGGTGGGAAGGCGTCCCTGCAGCACGGCCCTGGGCTCGGTTTGTAAGGCTCTTTGTAGAATCTGTCTGCCTGAAAGCTAACTGGATAGCTCCAACCACAATTTGTGTTATTTGCCTTCATGCTGGTTCTTTATTTTCTCTTTTTATTCTTTTAAATAGCAACTTGCTTTCTTGTTCTGGTTTATAACCACATGTTTATTACAGAAGATAGAAATCATAGATTCATAAGCTTCAGGGAATGTTACTCCAACTGTATGCTAATGGAGCAAACATCGTACTGAAGTATAACTATAGATTAGATCATTTGACTTAGTTATAAATGCATGCATAGTGTTATACGCCTAGGGAAGTGTATTTGGTGCAAGAATGGTGACTGAAGTGAATCCAGGTATTGGTGCTGGGTGTCAGAAATGCTCCAGCGGTGATAAATATAACACCTGAGGGAGTACATAAGAGCATAGGGTAATTACGCCGTCCTTTAAGTGTGTGTGCATGAATGTGATGAAAAACATCCTCGGTTGTGAAGCTACAGCAGTGAGAGGAAGAATTCACATGCTGAGAAAAAGCCACTGCCTGATGCAGGCGCCAGATGCAGCCTGGCTGCCACACACACACATTTACATATGGAGCGCGAAGCCCTTTGGCCTTTAGAGGGCAGGCGAAGACAAGAAATATAAAAGTGAGAGTAGAGGAAGGGGGGAATTTGAAGAAGGAGGTAGAGAGGGAGGGAAGGAAAGAAAGATGCAACACTCCTCCCCTCCTCCATCCCTCCCCCAGTCTTTCTGGTCTGAGTCTGGGGGTAAGGCAGACAAGCTGGGATGCAGGCAGTTCCACTGCATGGTAAACACCCCTCACGCTACCCCCACCTCACTGCCTGGAAGACAAAAAAAAAAAAAAAAAAAAAAAAAAAAAAAAAAAAGGCAGATTCCGGGTGAGTGTGTGAACTGCAGCCAGGGGCACGGCAGCACACATCCACAGGGTGCTGCTAGATAGCGACTAGAAATTCACGGCGAAAACAACAACCGACTGACGAACCAAAGAGAGAAATCAGACTCAGGAAGACGTGCAACCAGCCAGACATCACCAGAACCAGGCTACAAGTCAACCTCTGCATTCTGTGACTGATTTTAACCAACAAGCCACAGGGGTTTCAGTGGGTGTAGTAGTTTCCTTGAAATTAATGAGTAACAGTGTTGAGTTTTCTTGGCTTCATTTACCTCTTTACTGTAAATAAAACAAATGCCTTGATGAGCAGAGCTTTTGTCAGCCACAGGTGACCTTCGTGTGCGTTGTTAACGTGGCCTCTTTAACATCCAAACAAACTGAATGTAATGATTGTGCAATCAATACAAGTATATTATTGGCATGTTGCGACTACAAATCTCATTCACACAGCCTAATGTTGCCACTTAAACTACTTAAAGCAGAGGTTAATTTAACCAATGACGTTGGACAGACACCAGCAAAAGATGGCGTGCCTTTGAAAGCAAACATTTTATCCATGAAAACATGAGACTCCAGGGAACAAAATATGGATGCATAAACACCTTAGTGATTCAGCAAAGATCAAGGTCTGATTGGAACACCAAATTAAAGATTCACTGTGTGTTTTTTAGTTATCTGCTCATAAAGTCGGCCTTTTCTCTACATGGATGGGCAAGGTGAGGTGAAGAGACACAAGCCAACATCCTCATAAAGATGTGTTGAAGGTACAGAGTTAACTGTTTTGATGTGATTGGATGTTAGCTTGCTGCTGAAGAGCCAAGTGCAGAATGTTAGGACAGCACAGAAGCTCTCATTCTGGCCACCCAGGAACAGGCCCTAAACACCAGAGCAATAGAGGCCCAGATCTACCACACCAGACAAGACCAAGGTGTAGGTTGTGCAAGGAGGCCCCTAACAGCACATAACAGCAGGGTGCAAGATACTGGCAGGGAAAGCGTACATGGAACGACATAACCAAGTGGCAGGCATAGTGTACAGAAATATCTATGCAGAATATGGACTGGAAACCCTGAGATCAAAGTGGGAAACACCCTCAAAGGTGGTGGAGAACACCAGAGCTAAGATCCTGTGGGACTTCCAGATCCAGACAGACAGAATGGTAATGGCGAACCAACCAGACATTGTCGTAGTAAACAACAGAGGAAAGCCGTTGTGGTTGATGTAGCAATACCAAGTGATTGCAACATCAGGAAAAAGGAGCACAAGAAACTGGAGAAATACCAGGGCCTCAGGGAAGAACTGGAGAGGGCCTGGAAGGTGAAGACCACAGTGGTGCCTGTGGTCATCGGGGCCCTCGGGGTAGTAACCCCCAAACTGGAGCAGTGGCTACAACAGATCCCAGGAACAACCCTAACCCTAATCCCTAACCCTAACCCTTGGCACAGCCAAGATACTGCACAGTATATATATAAAAAAAAAATCCCTTCTCACCCACCACGGGTGTTTCTTATCCTCTGAACTCAGGTTCTCTATCAGAGGTCTGGTAGAGAACTAAACTGTTTCACTGATGTTTCTTATGTCCCTTTTCTGATTAACTTTGGCATAGTTTGCTAAAACTGTATAAATATTACATATCTAACTTGTTCATGTAGTTGAACAGCCTGGAACAGGACATTCATACCAACCATGGGATCCATCTCTCCTGCAAGGAAATGTTTCATACAAAATTTGAGCACTGTTGATTCAAAGTATTTATTCTATAATTACGGTGTTATGCATTGTAAGATTATGGTGTTGAGCAACTGATACCAGCAGACGGTCACTCAGCAGTGAATTTGGTCTATCATATTATGTGTTGACTTGTTCTTATTTGGACTGCAAGTGCAATCAATGGAAATAGACGATAATATTAAAGAAAATAGCTTTTTTTGATTACCTCCATAATTTATCAAGAATATCAGCCAAAGAGAACAAAGCATCTGTATAATGGGTAGGTACAGTGGAAGCCAGTTATTTATTCACAGTGCAGTATTTGCTCATTCAGATTATTATTTTTTTTTCAAGAAAACATACGATATTCAAATGAAAAGAGAAGATGAAAGTGCAGGGGTACTTGAGACACTAGTAGCTGGTGTTTGTTCATAATGACAGTGCGGAGAGGAATCGAGCAGCTTGCATCTTCTTCATCAGAAAGAACAGATGTAGTTTATGAACTTTGACCCACGCCCACCTCAGAAGCGTCATTAATTTTTGTTAGTGCTGAATCACTGCTCCTCCAAAAGCAGAGATGATGTAAATTGTAAATCATAAAGTCTGTGGTAGTGAAAAGATGGTTTCCATGGAGTATATTAATGACTATTAAGATATTTTTGGTGTTCGATCAAGAAAAATAGGCAGATATGAACTGTTTTAGAGAAGGTCTCGAGTATTTCTGGATTTCAACAATTCATGAAAGGTTCTGGTCCTTAACCCGCTAAATCACATGAGATTCAGTATTTTTATAAGTAATTGTTTCTATAATTTTATAAGTAATTGTTTCTAAGTTTCTATAATGATAATAACTCAATCATTAAGAAAAAAAATACTTTTATGCAAAGGCTAAGTATAAGATTTTTTTTTTTTCTGGATACATGTGACCTCTAAGACAGTGACGGTGGCCCATTAGAGGCTTTGGGATGAAAGTGAAACAATTATAATTACCGTCGTTCTCAAAAGGATTTTTTTTAAAGTACTGCTATTGACTGAAAAATAACAGACTAAGAAAAATGACAAAGTCATTGATTGGTTGTTTGGCTGCTTGAGAGCAAAACGGGAATGAAGAAGGAAATTTACCAAGAGTCTGAAGACAAAAGTTTGGATCAAAGAATCAATAGCACAGATGTTTACAGAAGAGGTAAAGGGAAATACAAATGATAAAAAAACATGTTTCTGTCAAGAATTCTTTTACAGTTTTAATACACTAAGTCTGACACTTTTTAAACAACATAATTTGAAGTGTTTGCACTCCCACTTACAAACACAATGTAAAATGTCAATATTTATCTCTCTGCTCCTCTTCCATCTATCTATTCCTTCACAGAACAAAAGCCTTTTCAAAAGGTGGGCAAAGATTTTAAAAAGTAAACAGCAATCTGAGACAATTTCAGACCTTTTTCAAATTCCACATGATGATCCAAACAGTGAGAGGGCTTGGTTGTTTTGGCAAAGCCTGATTCAAGAAACTCAAACCGACTTTAAATTCTGGGAAAAAATTAATAAGTGCTCCTGCTGTACACACTGTGTTTACAACAATGAAGAGGTGAACAAGACGCGTCCACAAGCAGTGCGACAATTCAAGCACTCCGCACGTACGCAGCAGGCCATGGCTCTTCATTCAGAGAAAGCTTTAAGCAAACACACTTAACTGCTGTTGAATGCCTCCATTTATGAAGTACGACCCACTCCAGCTGGGTTCACAAACATCCCATTGTTGTCTCGCCGTTAATCAACTTCGTAAGTGAAAATTCTTCTCCTGATTGTATCCTTTATTATTAAAACTGCTTTTCAACACTATAGAATTCCTTCCCAAGTTTTTGCTTAATATTTTAATTGAGTTTTGACGAAAAATAGGTCAGACAGAATTGCTATTTTATCACTGTGAAGTGCCTGACTAATGACTTGAGGTCAGAGCTGGAGGATCGAGTGCAATCTTCACGGCCAACAAAACAAAATCTTCCCGGTCTTTGCTTATTTTTTTCCCCAATCAGATTTAAGACAAAAATAATTGAGTTACACCTTAAAAAAATTGTGTTTTTTTTGTCAATGACAAAAGAATGGTTTCATTATTGATATTGTGATTAATAATATAACATTAGTATCCAGAAGAACCTTGGGGAGTAAAAACCCCAAGAAAAATAATTCCTTTTTTTTTTTTATTTTCATTTACTTCCTTGGCCTGTGCCCTTTCCCTACAAAGGAGAAATAGAGGCTAGTTTTCCCCTTGTGGAAACTACCTACTATTGTGGTCAGTGTGCTTGCTTAAAAATAGGTCAAGACAGAAAAAAATAGAGCATTAATATATCATATGTTGTATAAAATTGTCCTGCGACCCTTATAACGTCAAACACTGTGGTCTGTTATACTGACTTTAGCTCTTATTACAGCATGCATTTGTTGTGGCATTTTTCCAGTAAGCTATAATATGTTTCTAGTCAGTTGCATCAATGTTTCGCCTTGCTGGGGGCATGGAACAGGTGATCTTTGTACAAATTGTTCTTTAGAACGTCCCAAAAATTCTCAAAGGCATTTAGATCTACAGTCTGATGGGCAAATCATGCGTGAAAAATTACGTCTCATGTTCTTAGAGTCAATGTCACACTACTTGAGGCTGATAAATTCTTTTAATGTCATTCTGGAATATACCCTTGCCGTCGGTATAGTCAGGCAGAGAGCTGATCCCATGTCTTGAGCAAATACAATAGCTGAACCTTGACCTGACCAACTGCAGTAGACCCAGATCATAGCACTGTCTCCACTTGAAAGGTAGGCAGTAGGCATGATGGGTGTCTCCTTTCTCAACCAGATGCACATATTACTCTGCAACAGGGCAAACCTGGGCTCCTCAGATCACATGACCCTCTTCCACTGCTTTTTGGTCAGAGATTATTCTGACAACATGTCTTTAATAAGTAGCATGATCCGCCACTGTACTTCCAGTTTTTAATAATGTGTTGTTGGACAGTACTTACTTTGCAAAGAAATGAGAAGCAACTCTCTTCATCAGTAAAGGCTAAACAACTTGTTGCAACTAGAAACACAATTATTGACGGAGCAATTATCCAATGGCAGGCTCTTACCTATTTGTATTGATAAATCCAGGTGGCAAGTTCTTTGAACAGTGTATAAGTACATAAATAAATATACACAAACATAAAAACATTTTATCTAAAA